CCCAGTAGACCCCTGGTAGCACCAAGGACCTCCCCAATAGCACCCAGTAGCCCCCAGTACCTCACAGTAGACCCCTGGCAGCACCAAGGACCTCCCCATAGTTCCCAGTAGGCACCCAGTAGCCCCCCCTGCCCCACCCTAGCACTGTACTGGGAGCACTGGGCACATCGGGAGCCAGACTGGGGGAGTTGGGGGGGGCAGGTTTTGGGGGGATGTTGTCACCCCCTATGGACCATGATGGGAGTCCCAAGACACTTCGGGGGTGTCACACATGGTGGGGGCTGAACCCCCCACCCCCAGAGCATGGGGGGGACATTGGGGTCTCTGTGTCCCCCTATGACCCCATGCCCGGAGCCCCTCCACACCCCAGTTCTGAGGGACACACAACACCCCCTTGGTCCCACCATGTCGTGGTGACCTCCTCCATGCCACCCCCCAAAACCATCACACTGGGGAGGTCCCAGGGCACTTTGGGGGGACACAAGGTGGGGGCTGGAACCACCCAAACACCCTCCTCAGAATATGTAGATGGATGTAGAGCATCCATCATCCATCCATCATCCATCCATCCATCCATCCATCACCCATCCATCATCCATCCATCCATCCATCCACCCATCCATCCATCCATCCATCCATCCATCCATCCATCATCCATCCATCCATCCATCCATCATCCATCCATCCATCATCCATCCATCATCCATCCATCCTCCATCCATCCATCCATCCATCATCCATCCATCCATCATCCATCCATCCTCCATCCATCCATCCATCATCCATCCATCCATCCATCATCCGTCTATGCATCATCCATCCATCCATCCTTCCATCATCCGTCCATCCATCATCCATCCATCCATCCTTCCATCCATCAGTCCATCCTTCCATCCATCCATCCATCATCCATCCATCCATCATCGATCCATCATCCATCCATCCATCATCGATCCATCATCCATCCATCCATCATCGATCCATCATCCATCCATCCATCATCCATCCATCATCCATTTTTGCATCCATCCACCCATCCATCCATCATCCATCCTGAATCCCTGCCAACCAACCCTCCATTCATCATCCATCCATTCATCCGTCATCCCTCTCTCCCTCCCTCCATCCATCCTTCCATCCTGAATCCCTGCCATCCATCCATCCCTCCATCCATCATGCATCCATCGTGCATGTACGCATGTATGGCATCCATGCATCATCCATCCATCCATCCATCCATTCATCCATCATCCATCCCTTCATCCATCCCTCCCTCCGTCCATCCATCATGCATGCATCCATCCATCCCTCCCTCCATCCAGGGACACTGGGGTCCCCATGTCCCCCTTTGCTGCTCCATATCCCAGCCCCAGTGGACAACCCCCCTGTTACACGTCACCCAACCACGGCGCAGACACCACCCCCAAAACCCATCACACTGCCCATGGGGGATCACCTCCGCTTCCCACCTCCTTTATTCCACAGGGGGGGACCCAGAGCCCCCCATTATCCCGATGGAAAGGCCTTGATGACCTTGACGTCGTCGAGGGGCCGGTCCTGCGCGTTGGTGTCCACCATGGCGAGGCGCGCCAGCACCGCCATGCCCTGGCTCACCCGGCCGAAGATGCTGTGCTTCCCGTCCAGCCACTGCGCCGGGGCCAGCGTCAGGAAGAACTGGCTCCCGTTGGTGTCCGGTCCTGCGTTGGCCATCGCCAGGATCCCTGCACCTGGGGGGAGGATGGATGGATGGAGGGAGGGAGGGATGGATGGATGATGGGTGGATGATGTATGGAGGGATGGATGGATGATGGATGGATGGATGGATGATGGGTGGATGGATGAATGATGGGTGGATGATGGATGGAGGGATGGATGGATGATGGATGGATGGATGGATGATGGGTGGATGATGGATGGAGGGATGGATGGATGATGGATGGATGGATGGATGATGGGTGGATGGATGAATGATGGGTGGATGGATGAATGATGGTGGATGATGATGGAGGGATGGATGGATGATGGATGGATGGATGAATGATGGGTGGATGATGGATGGAGGGATGGATGGATGATGGATGGATGGATGGATGATGGGTGGATGGATGAATGATGGGTGGATGATGGATGGAGGGATGGATGGATGATGGATGGATGGATGGATGATGGGTGGATGATGGATGGAGGGATGGATGGATGATGGATGGATGGATGGATGATGGGTGGATGATGGATGGAGGGATGGATGGATGATGGATGGATGGATGGATGATGGGTGGATGGATGAATGATGGGTGGATGGATGAATGATGGGTGGATGATGTATGGAGGGATGGATGGATGATGGATGGATGGATGAATGATGGGTGGATGATGGATGGAGGGATGGATGGATGATGGATGGATGGATGGATGATGGGTGGATGGATGAATGATGGGTGGATGATGGATGGAGGGATGGATGGATGATGGATGGATGGATGGATGATGGATGGATGGATGAATGATGGGTGGATGATGGATGGAGGGATGGATGATGGATGATGGATGGATGGATGAATGATGGGTGGATGATGGATGGAGGGATGGATGGATGATGGACGGATGGATGGACGGATGGATGGATGATGGGTGGATGGATGATGGATGGATGCATGATGGATGGACGATGGATAGATGGACGAATGATGGATGGATGGATGATGGATGGATGGATGGATGGATGGATGGATGGATGATGGATGGATGGATGATGGATGGATGATGGATGGACAACAGCATTAATGGTTTGGGGGGCTTGGGGATGGGTTGACCTGGTTTCATGGCAGACAGAGCACTCCATGCATGGGGTTTTGACGCACACAGGGGACATGCTTCCCCATGGCCAAGGTTCTGACATGCTATGGGGGGACATGCTATGGATGGGGGCACATGCTATGGATGTGACATTGTGGGGGACATGCTATGGATGAGGTCTGGGTGTCACATCACCCTACGGACAGGTCTGGGTGGACACAAGGGTCATGTCACCCTATGGACTGGGTCCTGCTGGACATGGGGGTCATGTTACCCTATGGACAGGTCCTGGTGGACACAAGGGTCACATCACCCTATGGACATGTCCTGGTGGACACGGGGGTCACATCTCCCTATGGACAGGTCCTGGTGGACACAAGGGTCAGATCACCCTATGGACAGGTCCTGGTGGACACAGGGGTCACATCAAACCTATGGACAGGTCCTGGTGGACACAAGGGTCAGATCACCCTATCAACATGTCCTGGTGGACACGGGGGTCACGTCACCCTATGGACATGTCCTGGTGGACACGGGGGTCATGTTACCCTATGGACAGGTCCTGGTGGACACGGGGGTCATGTTACCCTATGGACATGTCCTGGTGAACACAGGGGTCACATCTCCCTATGGACAGGTCCTGGTGGACACAGGGGTCACATCACCCTATGGACAGGTCCTGGTGGACACAGGGGTCCCATCACCCTATGGACAGTTCCCACTGTGCCCCCCTCACTCACCAGTGAACTTGAGCTCCGGGTGCAGCTCATCCTCAAAGTGTTTCCCATAGATGGAGGCACCACCACGGCCTGGGAATGATGGAAACAGGGGGTCAGCAGCATCCAGGAGAGGGGGGGACCCGGAATGGGGTGACCGGAGTGGGGGGGTGATGCTCACCGGTGCCGGTGGGGTCCCCCCCCTGCACCATGAAGTCCTTGATGACGCGGTGGAACTTGGTGCCGTTGTAGTAACCGCGGCGGCAGAGCTCAGCGAAGTTCCTGCACGTGCGGGGAGCGTGCTTCCAGTAGAGCTCCAGCACCAATGGGCCCATGCTGTGGGAATGGGGTCAGCCCATAGGGACACACAGCAGGGAACGGGAATGGGATGGGACTGGCTGGTAATGGGGAAAGGGACTGGGGGCTGTCCGGTACAAGGTGAGGGGGGGCAATGGGATGGGGGATAATGGGGTATCTGGTACCCAGGAGGGATGAACCGGTATCAGGGTGTAACAGGGTGAGCTGGAACGGGGTATGACCGGTACCGGGGTGAATGGGAACCGGGGTATAACAGGGTATAACCAGTACCAGGATGAACCGGAACCGGGGTGTAAGGGGGTATAAACGGTACCGGGGTGAACCGGAACCGGGGTGTAACGGGGTATAAATGGTACCGGGGTGAACCGGAACCGGGGTGTAACGGGGTATAAATGGTACCGGGGTGAACCGGAACCGGGGTGTAACGGGGTATAAACGGTACCGGGGTGAACTGGAACCGGGGTGTAACGGGGTATAATCGGTACCGGGGTGAGCCGGAACCGGGGTGTAACGGGGTATAAACGGTACCGACGTGAACCGGAACCAGGGTGTAACGGGGTATAACCGGTACCGGGATGAACCGGAACCGGGGTGTAACAGGGTATAAACGGTACCGACGTGAACCGGAACCGGGGTGTAACGGGGTATAAACTGTACCGGGGTGAACCGGAACCGGGGTGTAACAGGGTATAACCGGTACCGGGGTGAGCCGGAACCGGGGTGTAACCGGTACCGGGGTGAGCCGGAACCGGGTATAAAGGGGTGAACCGGAACGGGGTGAACCGGAACCGGGGCATAACGGGGTATAACCGGTACCAGGGTGAACCGGAGCCGGGTGTACCGGGGTATAACCGGTACCGGTACCGGTAGGGGATGTCCTTACGTGGTCTCCATGGAGACGGTGGGCGGTTGCCAGGAGTCAGGCGGGACGGCGGCCATGCCGCCGCTAGCGCGCTCTTCCGGGGGACACGCCCCCTTCCCCGGCCACAGCCAATGGGAGAGCGCGTTTGGAAAGGGGCGTGTCCTCAGGGAGCAGAGCCAATCGACGCAGCGGGCTCTGGTGACGCAAAGGAGGGGGAATTCAAACGGGGCCACGCCCCCTCCTCCCGCCGCATGGCCACGCCCCCTCCCCTTTGGCCACGCCCTCTCCTCCCACCGGGCCACGCCCCCTCCCCGCCTCGGTGCGCGCGCGGGGAGAGCGGGAACCGGGGGCGGTGAGCGGGGAACGGGGGGGGGGAGGGGGGAACGGGGAGGGGGGGAGGGGGAGCGGGAGGGGGGGGGCGGGGATGGGGCCCACGGATATGGGGCAGGGGAGGGGCCGCGATGGGACCCATGGATGTGGGGGTGGGAACCCCCCCGGTGGGGGATGGGATGCTCTGGAATGGGGGATGCGGAGCTCGGACCCCTCGGTGTGGGGCTGGGACCTCCCGGGATGGGGGGTGTGGGGCCGGGAAGCACTGGGATCAGGGTGTGGGGCCAGGACCCACCGATGTGGGGTGGGGATGCTCTGGAATGGGGGCGTGTGGGGCTGGGACATCCCCGTTTGCGGACTGGGGACCCTCCGGGATCGGAGCGTGGGGCTGGGACCCCCCGATGTGGGACTGGACTCCCCGGGATGCGGCTGTGGGCCTGGGACCCCCGGGGATGCGGTTGTGGGGCTGGGACCCCCCGATGTGGGGCTGGGACTCCCGCGATGCGATTGTGGTGCTGGGACCCCCTGATATGGGCCTGGGACCCACTGGGATGGGGCTGGGACCTCCCGATGTGGGGCTGGGACCCCCCGGGAATGCGGTTGTGGGGGTGGGACCCCCCGATGTGGGGCTGGGACTCCCGCGATGCGACTGTGGGGCTGGGACCCCCTGATACGGGGCTGGGACCGCCGGGGATGGGGCTGGGATCCCCCGGGATGCGGCTGTGGGGCTGGGACGCCCCGATGTGGTGCTGGGACCCCCGGGGATGGGGCTGTGATGCTGGGACCCTCTGATATGGGGCTGGGACCCCCGGGGATGCGGTTGTGGGGCTGGGACCCCTGGGGATGCGGTTATGGGGCTGGGATCCCCCCGATGTGGGGCTGGGACCCCTGAGGATGCGGTTATGGGGCTGGGACCCCCCCGATGTGGGGCAGGGCCCCCCCCGCTCCGTTTCCGCTCCGCCGGAGCCATCCGCGCCTGGCACCGTCGGGTCCCGGCCCCCCCCCCCCCCCGGCCCTGGTGTCACCGCTCCCCCCCCCCCCCCAGGCAGCCCCGGCCATGGAGCAGCCGCGACCCCCCCGTGCCCCCCCCGGTGGCGGCGAAGCGGGGCTGCCCCCCCCCCCCGGGCCCCCCGACGTCCGGTTCGTCACCGAGGAGAGCTTCGACTTCGGGCTCCTGTCCCCGTCCGACAGGTGGGGGGGGGGGGGGCTGAATGGGGAACATGGGGGGTGTGGAGCCCCATAGATGAGGGATATGGAGCCCCATAGATGGGAGATGTGGTACCCTGTAGATGGGGTACCCCATAGATGAGGGATGTGGAGCCCCATAGATGGGAAATGTGGTACCCCATAGATGGAAGATGTCATACCCCATAGATGGGAGATGTGGAGCCCCATAGATGGGAGATGTGGAGCCCCATAGATGGGTGATGTGGAGCTCCATATGTGGGGGGATGTGGAGCCCCATAGATGGGAAATGTGGTACCCCATAGATGGGGGTCAGCCCCATAGATGGGGGGCAGCCCCATAGATGGGGGGCAGCCCCATAGATGGGGGGCAGCCCCATAGATGGGGGGCAGCCCCATAGATGTGGGGCAGCCCCATAGATGGGGGGCAGCCCCATAGATGGGGGTCAGCCCCATAGATGGGAGATGTGGAGCCCCATAGATGGGAGATGGGGAGCCCCATAGATGGGTGATGTGGAGCTCCATATGTGGGGGGATGTGGAGCCCCATAGATGGGAAATGTGGTACCCTGTAGATGGGAGATGTGGTACCCTGTAGATGAGGGATGTGGAGCCCCGTAGATGGGAGATATGGTACCCTGTAGATGAGGGATGTAGAGCCCCATAAATGGGGGGTGTTGAGCCCCATAGGTGGGGGGATGTGGGGCCCCATAGGTGAGTGATGTGGTACCCCATAGATGGGAGATGTGGTACCCTGTAGATGAGGGATGTAGAGCCCCGTAGATGGGAGATGTGGAGCCCCATAGATGGGTGATGTGGTACCCTGTAGATAAGGGATATGGAGTCCCATATATGGGAGATGTGGTACCTTGTAGATGAGGGATGTAGAGCCCCGTAGATGGGAGATATGGAGCCCCATAGATGGGTGTAGTGGTACCCCATAGATGGGTGATGTGGTACCCCATAGTAGAGGGATGCGGAGCCCCATAGATGGGTGATGTGGTACCCCATAGTAGGGGGATGTGGAGCCCCATAGACGGGGGATACAAACCCCATAGCTGGGGCCCTTTCCCCCCTGTGGCCAAGGCTTTGGCTTCCCTGCGGGACCTGGCGCCCATCAGTGGGGTCTTGAAGCCCATGGGGACCGCAGCGCCCCATGGCCAAGCCCCCCCCTTCCCCTTTCCCCCCCCCCCCGCAGCCAGGACGAGGAGGAGGAGGAGGCCGATGGCGAGGGGGGCTCGGGGGGGGGCTGGAGCCCGCTGCGGGGCGCGCGCCTGGAGGAGCTGGTGCGGGAGGCGTCGCGCGTGGCCGCGGAGCTGCAGCGCTGCCGCCTGCCCCCCCCCGAGCCCCTCCCCCTCCCGGCCCCCCCCCGCCCCCCCCGCAGCCCCCGCCGGGAAACGTTCGTGGTGCGGGACAGCCCCGTGCGCGCGCTCCTGCCCACCGTGAGCGCGCGCGGCGGCCCCGCCCCCCCCCGCGCACCCCAACCCCCACCCAAGGTAGGTCCCAAACCTATTGGGGGGGGGGAGGGGGGGTAAGGGCAACCCCTGGTGCCCTCCCCCCACCCCGGGGGAGGGGGGGGCTGGGCTGAGCTGTGCCCCCCCCCCCCCCCCAATCTCTGCTGCAGGCGGCCCCCAAGGGACCCCCCGGCACCAGGGTGCCCCCCCCGAGCAGGGTGGGGGGAGCCCCCCCCCGGCTTTGCCCTCCCCAAGGGAGGGGGGCTGGGGTGCGGGGCAAGGAAGGAGCGCGGGGGGGGGCAGCAGGTACCGGATCTGTGGGGGATGGGAATGGGAATGAATGGGGATGGGATGGGGATGGATGGGAATGGGAATGGATGGAGATGGGATACGGATGGGGATCGGAATGGATGGGGATGGGGATGGGGATGGGGATGGGGATGGGGATGGGGATGGGGATGGGGATGGGGATGGGGATGGGGATGGGGATGGATGGGGATTGGAATGGATGGAGATGGGGATGGAAACGGATGGGGATGGGAATGGATGGGGGTGGGATGGGGATGGGGATGGGAATGGATGGGAATGGGGATGGGGATGGATGGGGATGGGATGGGGATGGGGATGGAAATGGATGGGGATGGGAATGAATTGGAAAGGGGATCGATTGGAGATGGGGATGGGAATGGGGTTGGGATGGGAATGGATGGGGATGGGACAGGGATGGATGGGGATGCTGACAACGTGGGTACAGGGCAGGGACACCCACCCCATTGAGGGCACCCATTGCAGGGTGCACCCATACCATGGGCCCCCTATTGCATGGGGCACCCACTGCATGGGGCAGTTGGTCCACGGAGCACCTTCACCATGGGGCACCCACACCATGGCTCAGGGTGGGGGTCAGGATGGGTCAATGGGGGTCAGTGGGGTCAATGGGGGTCAGGATGGGTCAGTGTGGGTCAATGGGGGTCAGGGTGCCCCCCATCACCCCACACCCCCCTCTCTCTCCCCAGCCCAGCCGAAGGCGAGGGGAGTCCCCCCCCCAACCCGCCAGCCCCACAGCAGGACCCCGGCCCCCCCCAGCCCCTCAGCCCGTGGCCCCCCCTCCACCACCCTGCCCCGGGCGCGGGGGGGCCCGGCACCCCGAGGTGAGGATGGTGCTGCTTGGGGAGGGGGGGGCAACGGGGTCCCTGTGTGTCCCCCCCCCTTCTTTGTCTCAGTTTCCCCTTTGTGTCTCTCCCCATTGCAGGAGCATCACGGGGGCCCCCCCCAGCGCCCAGCACCGGGTGCAAACCGGGGCCCCCCCCAGGCCGTCTGCGGGGTCCCCGGAAGCCGGTGGCGAGCAGCACCCCAAGGTGACCCCCCCCCCCCCCCCAGGGATGAAGCCAAGGCTCAGGTTGGATTCTGCTTTAATACAAAAGGAAACCATCATCAAGAGGACTCCCCCCCCCCCCCAGCACCCAAGGGTCCCCCAGCACCCTCCCCACTGTGCCCCCCCCCCCATGGGTGCCACCACCTGAGCCCCACCCCTGGGGGAGGGGGTTGTGTAATATTGGCTCCCCCCATTCATGGTGCCACCCCTCCCCCCCCCCAGTGTCACCATGGTGGGGGAGGGGGGGGTGTCCCTAAATACCCCTTTTTTTTTGTATTTTCCATGTATTTTTTAAATAAAACCCTCCACCGGGCCCTGGGGGTTGTGGGTGATGGGGGGTGGGGGGAGGGGGGGTCAGGGTGGGGGGCACCCAATACCAACCCCCTCCCCCACCCCAACCCAAGAAGGTGCCAAAGGGTGGGGGGGGTAAATCCCTGCCAGCATCCATAGTGCAATGGGGGGGGTGTCCCCATGTTATGCCCCCCATCCCCATGACACCCCCTCCAGCAGTGTCCCCATGGCGCTGGCACTGGGGGTGCCGTGGGTCCCCGTTAGATGGAGGTCTCGTCGCTCCTGGGGGGGTGATGGACGGACGGACACATGGGCATGGAGGGGGGGGAAAAAGACAGACGGATGTGTGATGGGGGGGCGAGGGGTGCAGGGTGCCCTCAGCACCCACAGCACCCAATGGGGGGGATGGAGGTGGGGGGGGGGAGCAGGAGCCCCCCCCTTGGGTTAATGGAGGAAATTAAAGAACAGAAATCTGGGGGGGGAGGGGAGAGAAGAGGAGGGTTAGTGAGGGACCCCCCCCATGGCACCCAATGGGTGCTGGATGGGTGCCCAGTGGGCACTGCTAGACTTGATGGGCACCCAACAGCCAATGGGTGGTCAATGGGCACCCAAGAGTCAATGGGTGGTCAATGGGCACCCTAGAGCCAATGGGTGGTCAATGGGCACCCAAGAGTCAATGGGTGGTCAATGGGCACCCAAGAGTCAATGGGTGGTCAATGGGCACCCTAGAGCCAATGGGTGGTCAATGGGCACCCAAGAGCCAGTGGGTGGTCAATGGGCACTCAAGAGCCAATGGGTGGTCAATGGGCATCCAAGAGTCAATGGGTGGTCAATGGGCACCCTAGAGCCAATGGGTGGTCAATGGGCATCCAAGAGCCAGTGGGTGGTCAATGGGCACTCAAGAGCCAATGGGTGGTCAGTGGGCACCCAAGAGCCAGTGGGTGGTCAATGGGCACTCAAGAGCCATTGGGTGGTCAGTGGGAACCCAAGAGCCAATGGGTGGTCAATGGGCACTCAAGAGCCAATGGGTGGTCAATGGGCACCCAGGAGCCAATGGGTGGTCAATGGGCACCCAAGAGCCATTGGGTGGTCAGTGGGAACCCAAGAGCCAATGGGTGGTCAATGGGCACTCAAGAGCCAATGGGTGGTCAATGGGCACTCAAGAGCCAATGGGTGGTCAATGGGCATCCAAGAGTCAATGGGTGGTCAATGGGCACCCTAGAGCCAATGGGTGGTCAATGGGCATCCAAGAGCCAGTGGGTGGTCAATGGGCACTCAAGAGCCAATGGGTGGTCAGTGGGCACCCAAGAGCCAGTGGGTGGTCAATGGGCACTCAAGAGCCATTGGGTGGTCAGTGGGAACCCAAGAGCCAATGGGTGGTCAATGGGCACTCAAGAGCCAATGGGTGGTCAATGGGCACCCAGGAGCCAATGGGTGGTCAATGGGCACCCAAGAGCCAATGGGTGGACAATGGGCACCCAAGAGCCAGTGGGTGGTCAGTGGGCACCCAAGAGCCAGTGGGTGGTCAATGGGCACTAAAGAGCCAATGGGTGGTCAATGGGCACCCAAGGGCCAATGGGTGGTCAGTGGGCACCCAATGGACAGGCCAGCACTCAATGGACACCCAACGGGCACACCAGTACCCAATGGACAAGCCAGCACTCAATGGGTGGTCAATGAGCACCCGTCAGGCACACTAACGTCCAATGGGTGGTTGGTGAGCACCCAATGGGCATCCAACAGTCACACCAACACCCAATGGGCAGCCAATGGGCACTCAATGGGCATCCAATGGGCACCAACACATGGATGGCCAATGGGCACCCAACAGACCCTCCAACACCCAATGAAGAGTCAATGGGCACCCAATGAGCCCACCAGCACCCAACAGTCAATGGCCATACAGTGAGCACCAAATGGGCACCCAAACACCCAATGGGTACCCAATGGGCACACTAACACCCAAGGGACAAACAATGGGTACACCAACAACCAGTGTGGAGTCAATGAGCACCCAACAGACACCCAGCAGGCACAGTAACACCCAATAGAAACCCAATGGGCACCCACTGGAAATGCAATGGGCACCCAATGAACACCCAATGGGCACCCAATGGGCACAGTAACACCCGACAGAAACCCAATGGGCACTCAATGGGCACAGTAACACCCAATAGAAACCCAATGAGCACCCCATGGGCACAGTAACACCCAATGGGCACCCCAACACCCAATGAGGAGTCGGTGGACCCCACCAGCCATAATGCACCCAATGAGCACCCCATGTGCACAGTAACACCCAATGGGCACCCCAACACCCAATGGGGAGTCAATGGACCCCACCAGCCATAATGCACCCAATGAGCACCCCATGTGCACAGTAACACCCAATGGGCACCCCAACACCCAATGGGGAGTCAGTGGACCCCACCAGCCACCCTTTCACCCAATGAGCACCCAACGGGCACCCCAACACCCAATGGGCACCCCAACACCCAATGGGGAGTTAGTGGACCCCACCAGCCACCCTTACACCCAATGAGCACCCAACGGTCACCCCAACACCCAATGGGGAGTCAATGGACCCCACCAGCCATAATGCACCCAATGAGCACCCAACGGGCACCCCAACACCCAATGGGCACCCATGGGTGCCCAGCACTCACTCGGAGCCGGATGAGTCCTCATCCACGGTCCCAGCCTTGATGCTCATGGCGATGGGGGTGACCCCACTGAGCTGCTCCTGGAGGCTCTGCCGCGGGCGGGGGGCAGCCGTGGGGCCCCCCTGCACCCCTTCACTGCCCGAGGAAGGGGGGGGCCCGGGGTGTTGGGTGCTGCCGCGCTCATTGATGGGGGCCAGGCCCTTCTTCTTCAGGATCCCTGCAATTGGGGGGGGCATCATTGGGGTGCCCCCCCTTACCCCGTAGCGCCCCATAGCGCCCTATAGCACCCCATAGAGCCCCACGTACCTTTGTGGGGGTGCGGCAGGGGCAGCAGCGGGGGATCCCTGGGGGGGGGATGTGGGGGTTCCCCCCCCCCCGGCTCCACTCGCAGGGTCCCGCTGCCCCCCCCGCCCCCCGGCCCCTCGCTCTCGCTCGCTGTGGTCATGAACTCCCCCGGCCAATACGGGGGGGGCACCCGGGCATCACCGGCGGGGGGGGGGGCGTTGGGTGAGCGGGGGGGGACACCCCCATACACACCGTGCCCCCCAATAGCGCCCAGACAGGGTGAGAGATACCCCCCCCCGCAAACACACTGGGTGGCCCCCATCAGCACAAGGGTGAATGCCCCCCCATACAAACATAAACGGGTGCCCCCCATTAGCACCCAAACAAGGCCAAGGACCCCCCCCGTACCCACTGAGTGCCCTCTTGGCCCCCTGACCCAAACCCATTGGATGTCCCCCATCAGCACCCACACCGGATGAGAACCCCCCCATTCCCAATGGGTGCCCCCATGTGCAATAAGGGCCCCCGCCATTGTGCCCCCATCAGCACCCAAACAAGGTCAAGCAGCCCCCAAGGGCAAAACACACCCCCCCCCCAAGGTGCTCCCATCAGCACCCAAACAAGGCCAAGGACCCCCCTGTACCCCCTGAGCTCCCTCTTGGCCCCATGACCCAAACCCATTGGATGTCCCCCATCAGCACCCAGACCAGGTGAGACCCCCCCCCCATTCCCAATGGGTGCACCCATGTGCAATAAGGGCCCCCTCCAGGGTGCCCCATTAGCACCCAAATAAGGCCAAGGACCCCCCCGTACCCACTGAGCTCCCTCTTGGCCCCCTGACCCAAACCCATTGGATGTCCCCCATCAGCACCCACACCGGATGAGACCCCTCCCATTCCCAATGGGTGCCCCCATGTGCAATAAGGGCTCCCCCCCATTAGCACCCAAACAAGGCCAAGGACCCCCCCATACCTACTGAGTGCCCTCTTGGTCCCCTGACCCAAACCAATTGGATGTCCCCCATCAGCACCGAGACCGGATGAGACCCCCCCCCATTCCCAATGGGTGCCCCCATGTGCAATAAGGGCCCCCCCCCATTGTATCCCCATCAGCACCCAAACAAGGTCAAGCACCCCCCCAAGGGCAAAACACACCCGCCCCCCCAAGGTGCTCCCATCAGCACCCAAACAAGGCCAAGGACCACCCCGTACCCACTGAGTTCCCTCTTGGTCCCCATGACCCAAACCCATTGGATGTCCCCCATCAGCACCCACACCGAATGAGACCCCCCCCCCTTCCCAATGGGGGCCCCCATGTGCAGCAGCCCCCCCCCCCCCCCCATTCCCAATGGGTGCCCCCATGTGCAGCAGCCCCCCCCCCCCAACGGGTGCCGTTACCGGTCGGCTCCGGTGGGGGGGCCGCACTCGGGGGGTCCCATCCGGATGGAGCCGCCTCGTCCTCGCTGTCGGAGGAGCCGGAGGAGCCGGAGGAGCCGCTGGGGTCCTCCCCCGGGGAGAGGTCGCTGTCCGAGTCCGAGTCGTGCTCTGCGGGGTGGGGGGCACCGGTGTCTGCACCCCCCCCCCCCCCCAGCACCGGGTGCGCTCAGCGCAGGGGATGGGGCCGGGGCCTTACCCTGCGGCTGGGCCGGGCCGTCCAGGAAGAGCCCCCCCGGGCTGGCCGCGAGCCCCGAGTCCTCCCTGCGCAGAGGGGATGTGAACCAGGGCACCGGTACCGGCACCGCGGCACCCAACCGGCACCCATGGCCCGGACAGGGAGCTGCTGGGCCACCACCGTGCATCGCCCCATCACCACATCACAGTGACACCCCAACACCGTGCCATTGCCACCCCATCGCAATGACACCCCAATACTGTGCCATTGCCACCCCATCTCCCCATCACAATGACACCCCAATACTGTGCCATTGCCACCCCATCACCCCAACACCATTGCCACCCCAACACTGTGCTATTGCCATCCCATCACCCCAACACCACTGCCACCCCAACACGGTGCCATTGCCATCCCACCAGAATGACACCCCAATACTGTGCCATTGCCACCTCATCACCCCAACACCACTGACACCCCAACACTGTGCCATTGCCACCCCACCACCCCAACACCATTGCCACCCCAACACCATGCCATTGCCACCCCCATCCTGTGCCATTGCCACCCCATCGCCCTGCCACCCCAACACCGTGCCATTGCCACCCCAATACTGTACCATTGCCACCCCAACACCATGCCATTGCCACCCCATCACCCTACCACCCCCAATACTGTGCCATTGCCACCCCAATACTGTACCATTGCCACCCCAACACTGTGCCATTGCCACCC